ATCACAATGAAGCACAGGTGGATGTGCTTCTTGAAGAACAATAATGTTATTAGTAACTGAATCAAGAATACAGCATTCATCCTTTTTCTCAGATTCACTCATTCAGGGAAACTGTCTGGATTACTATCCTGCTGGAAGTCCATTAACTGTTTGATTGAAAGCTATTAAACCCAAACCAAAACCCAAGCTGAAATATTTTGAAGGTTGATAATTACTATGGCTCCATTAAAAACAAACAAAAATCCCACAACTTCTTGCCTGAGAAATAAAAGAATTATTTATTCCACTTAGCTGCACCAAATGAGAATACGCCAATCACCATTTGTATAGGGCATGTGACTGATCCAGTGACTGAGGTCTCAGGTAGCAAATATGACTTTGCAAAGAAAATTGTGGCTGCAACATCCCACCCCCAATTTTCTTTAATTCTTCCTAATACTGATATTACTGGTGTTTGAAAACATTGCCCATTTGCACTTGCCAAACTAAATTGGAGACAGGGTTCTCCTGGTTCAGGATCTTTTACAGTTGTAACTAGATGTTTAGGGGAAAATGTACATATTTGTCAGATATAGATGCAGAATAAACATTTCTCTTACATATGTGTGGTTTCTTATACTTAAAAGCTTATATAAGTCCTGAAAGAGAGGACTTAATAATCCAGTAAAATCTTAATATTAATAATAGCTATAATTATTTATGACAAATCCAGATTCTGTTGACAGCCAAGACCCTTCTGATCCTTTTCCATCCTCCTGGTCTTGAAGGTTGAAGGCTTGCTCGTGCTCCTCCTAACTAGATGGAGGACTGTGAAATCAGAAATTCACTACTGGACACTTTCTCCCAAAATGAAACTGGGGGAAGGGTGATGATGGAAATGACTTTAATAGAAAGCAATTGCTGCTACACATTTGCGGGAGCCCAGTGCTGTTTGCCTGTATCCTTAGCTGCAGTGGAGCAGGTCCTTTGGACACCTCCATTCCCACGAGCTGTGGTGAGTGGTGTGCTCCCACTTGCTGAACTCTCAGAGCGTAGCAGCTGTGGATCAGGGCGGCAAAGACTCAGGTCTGATGCTTGACATGGCAGTTGTAGCCAGGATTTCTGCATTACTGAGCTAAGCATTTTTATATATTAGTACTATTTCATGCAATCAAATCTGCTGGCCAGAATCCTTAGTCCATGGGTAGAAAGAAATTTATCTAAATATCAAAGGCTAAAAAACCCATTAGCTGAAATATTTTTAGTTGCTGTGATTTTTTTTGTCACTTGCAGCTGCAAATAGTTTTGTATTTCATCTGATATGCCTTCAACAAAAACATGTTTACATGAGCTATGACAACAGTATGATCTGAGTTTTGTAATAGTTGGGCTCAATAGCTTCAGAGTGAAAGACATTGAATCCTTTAAATGAAAAGGAATTTATGCTATTCATTTGCTTCTGTTTGCTTGGCAATGATCTACAAGCATCTCATTAACATTAAAATGTTGGAAATATGTGGCATTTAGAAATAATAGCAAACACTAAAAAGAAAAAAAGAGGCAAATGAACATTTAAAATTCAAGGGATACCATTCCAAAAATGGAAGGAATTCAGTAATGTTTAGTACTATGAATGTATGACAGAAGAAGATTGTCTCCACAACACACTGCAATCCTCTTCACAGGAGCTCAGTGTACAGCTCTGGGTTCTAGGAAGAACAAGTTTTTCCACTGCCAAAACCAAGCTGCGGTGAGCAGCTTCAGTGCTGGGAGCCTCTCCTCTCCCCTGGCTCTGCCTGCTCAGCAGGCTTGGCCTCCCTGTGTCAGTGCCTCTCACTGAGTCACCAACAGTGCTGGGGTAAGAGGGTGCCACCCCTTGGACATCCTGTCACTCCTGGCCTTCTGGACTCCCATCTTCATTTGCAGTTGAAAGGTTCTTTTCTTCCTGGGAGAAAACATGGGAGAAATATCTGTTCTCTGCCTTCCTGCCTTCTTGCCAAGTGTTTGCTGTTCTTTGATGGGAAGCACCAGGTCAGGTCTTCGCCTCAGAATAGCAAGTCCTGGGGCTAATTTAATAAATAGGGTGATCTTCAATCTCCATCATCTTTTGTTTCAGGCTATCTGTTGATGTAGGAAAATACTAGTGAAATTTTTATTTGTAGCCATGAGGGAAAGTTTAAAGGAAAGCTGGGATCTTGATACAATCATATGCTTTTACTGGGTTGGAGCCCTAGGCCGAGAATTATATCATGGTCCCAAGCACAAACAAAATTAAAGGAAAATATTTTAGTACTTTTCCTCTATGACAATATTTCTCCCATGCACACCGAAGAGTTTCTAGGTACTGCATTATAGGCAAAAGAACAAACGTCTTGCTTATATTAAAGGATGTAAAATGTATTTATGCAGACATCTGTGCTGAATTCTCAATATATTTTGTTGTCGGAGTTCTTTCATGTTTTTTAAACCTTTTAAACACATTCCTAGGCATGACAATGTGTCATTATGCTTTCTGAGATGTGTGCTCTTACACAGTCTGCAGGATGACTGCTAAAAAGCATTTCCATTTCCAACAGCAGGCATTCTTTAAAGCGGATTAATAAAGGACAAAAGCCTTAGTGATGACAAATGTATGACAGTTAGCCAGGACCTGAGTGCTATGCAGATGTCACTCATTTTTGTAGAAATCTCATTAAATTTTATGCTTGGATGTAATCATTCATGGTGTCAGCTGGATGGCTAATGCAGAGAAGCTTTTCTCCCAAGGGCTGTGTTATTGTTCAGGATCTCTAAAACAATTTTTTAGTTGAGAATAGCCAATTGAGGAAAAAATGCACAGTCTGCTCAAATGCTCCTCTGGAAACTACACAGAAAATGACTGCTCATAAATGCACTACAGTGCAGTCGACCTTCATCGAGAAGACATTTGGGGCTGCAATAGACTCTTATGCAGCTCTAGGAGTACTGGAAACCCAGTGTCAAGGATATTAGTCAGTTATCTTCTTTCAGAGCAATTCCACAGATTGATACTTCATTTCAGGACATGCATGACTGCATTTTGGCAAACTTGTTTTATGTGTCTTTTTATTGTTGGAATGATCATCCTGAGAGGTCCTTTAGATTACCTGCTATGGTACAATGTTAATGTGAGAGTTCTTGAAATACTATTACCAATAATAGCTGTAGTCATTCAGTGAGGCAGTGCCCTTTCCTGTGAATCCCAGAATGTATGCTGATTTAGTCCACTGCTGCCTGACCAGGATAATTCTCACTTTTACCAAAAAGCTAAGAAGCCTGATATGTAGCAGTTCATAAACACAGAATTCTTACCCTGAAGGTATTTTTTTCTGAATGACAAGGTGTACTGGCTTGTCATCAAGATGAGAGGTCAAAAAAAAAGAGGGAAAGTATGAGACTTTAACTACAGAATAACAGAAAAGGTGCTTGATAAAACAGGAGCTTGACTGTTGTAGCATAAATCCCTTTTGCTCTGCCCACCTGCGGCAGATGATGTTTGCATATGGTAGAGAGGAAGTTGGATGTAGAGTAAATATGATGGGCACTATGGCTTTAGTGGATACAACGACATCCCCAGCCCCTCCACATGTGGTGTCCTGGAGCTGTTTCCGTAAGGTAGCTACATAAGGGCACTGGGCAGATGGAGAGTTTATATCCCAACCAGCAGCAGGATAGACAGGGAGGTTAGACTTAGAGTTGGAAGGTAAGGAAGAGGATATTCATGTTTCAGCCTGAATAGATTTGATTCATTCCAGGGATGAGGGTCAGCATAAATCCCTGGTGTCCTGCCTGAGAAGACCTTTGGTGGTATGTATGTCATGTTGTGCTCCTTTGCCCTGGAGACTTCTCTGCCTTGTACAAACCTAAAAATAGGATTCGGGCAAAGCAACCTTGAGAGTTGCTGAGTGTTGTGAGCTGAGATGTCACACTTCAGTCCAGAAACTCTAAGCTGGATCTTTGTGTAGTGGCAGCTGTGGCTTGACACAAAAGGTATGGACAGTGCAGGGAACATGAACGGAAATTTCACCTTAGGAGGAATAGCACCAGTAGCATATAAATTGCATTGTGAATGGCATAGCTAGTAGGTCCCAAATTGAGCAAGAGACTGAGGGCTTCTTTCATTGGCATGTCCTGCTGACTGCCTTTGGCACTGTAGGGCATCACTTGTCAGCTGTCCCAATTCTGGTCCATGCTGTCTCTTTCACTCTCTGCAATCTCAGTGTGAACACCAGCCCTTCCAGAACTACACAGGTCTTGTTCAGACACTGAGTTTGTGTACATCACCATATAAGATTTGTATTTTTGTACTTGTTTCTATGCATCTTGTTTGACTGGAGTTATAGGTATGAGTTAAGACGATGTTTGAAAGAAAGTGTCATAGGCAGAACAAAGGATCTTTTTTAAACTCTCTTAAAAAAAATCTTTAAATATATTAACCTCTTGCCCTTTCATGCTATAGAAGATATTATAACAAAGGTTCTGCTACAAGATTAGATTGCTGGGAATCTTTTGGTCTGGAATCTGTGGGTTAAAGGGCTGATGCTCAATCTACAGTAATATACTATCTTCTAATGCAGTAAATATTTCAGC